GGAGGGAGAAGAGGAGGCGTAGACAGGTTGCTTACCTTGAGGCCAATCTTGCGATTGACGCTGGTGGTACGATGCTGCTGTGCCGGCAGCTGAAGAAGTGCTGGAGTTGTTGATGTTGCTATTGCTGGTGTGCTGGAATTGCTGGTAATGATGTTTTTAGTGATATGAAATGATACTTACTAATGATAATAGTGATGTTGGTGATGCTGTTGGCGCTGTTGATATCGATGCGGCGGAGCTGGTGCTGGAATTGCTGGTGTTGCAGGAGGAAGAAATTTCTGGGAGTTGGGGGGATTCCAACGGCATTAGGTACCCATTTCCACCGAGAGCTGGAAGCTTCCGAGGTCCCTAAGAAGAAGGCACGCCCTGCAGTATCACGCTGAGGCAAGACTCTGGGAGGGATCTGAGTCCAGGTTTCAACAGCGACTGGGCATCTTGCCGTACTCACTCAAATCATATGATTGATTCATTCTCCACAGTTCAGACCCGTGACATGTGTGGAAGAAAGAGTCACCTCGGAGCGGAGGGAACCCGCGCCTTTCATTTTCGACCTAACTCATGGCTCTGCCTGCTAGAACTAAATACAACAACGATGACCGGCCTCTCCTACTTGATATCCTTATCTCTAGCCCTTGACTTCCTCTGTTCTGCTTGTGATATGGGAGGTCCTCCGCTCACTCTCAACCCCCCTTTCTTGATTTGTTCGTGTGCCGCGTTCTTCTACTGGGCCTGAGCCCCAGCACCCACCCCCAATGGCCGGCGGCTTGGGCACCTGCATGGCGTTGGTGGTGTCGACGTGGTCGACTTTGCTGCCCTCCCGAGCGAGGGAGGGGGCCATGAGGAAGGGAGGCGCCTGGGGTTTGGCGACGACTTAGGAAATCTGGGCGCCTAGCTAGCCTCTAAGCTTTCTAGCAAACGGAAAGAAAGACCTAGGCGATATATCTTCGGCAGCAAAGGGTGAAGGAGAGGGAGGAGAGAGAGGAGAGAGAGGCGGGGAAAACAGTGTGTGTAGGAGGGTTATACTAGGTAAGCTCGAGGCACAGATGTTACCACAAGCCACGGTCGCGAACCAGTGACCCATGTTCCTGCTTTCGAGGCGTGAAAATGACTGGGAAAGGACTGCGAAGGGTGTTCTGATGTAGAAGGTTGAGCTGATAACTTACCCGACGATGCCTGCTCCTCGAGGCGTGCATCCTCGGTGGCGAGGAGATCTGCGGGCGCGGTCCGCTGCGGCAGCGACGTCTGAGACTGCGGCATCTAGGAAGATAGGCAGCTAGTTAGCACGAGTGAAAGAATAAGAGTGGTTTACGTAGGAAAGTTCACCTTTCCTTGTGCGCGCGTGCTCGTGTGTGCGTGCGTGCGTGTATGTGTGTGTGTGTGTGCGCGCGCGCGAGTGTGTGGTTGGAGAGATCGATCGTCAGGAAGCGAAGCCAGTGGAATATTTATGCCCTGAAAGCACGAGTAGCATGAGGAAAGTGCGACTTGGACGTGCAACTTTGAACAGTGCTAGTTTGGGAAGATTGAACTGCGATTGCGTTATCGGATGACGCTGGGCAGCAGTCCGCAAAGTTGGCAACACGCATTCCGCGCGAAAAGGGATGGAAATGGGTAAAATTAACACACTGGCACGGGATGGTTTTATGCTAGTTGATGCTCTACCTCTTCTTGCCTAGAATATAGTGAACATTGACCTACAGGTTCGAGGGACATTTAGTGATTTGTCCGAAGCAGCTCCCTAGCTAGTTTCGTTCGCGATAAAACTTCACTGACAACTATCTAGGTACCCAGCGGGAAAATTCTTCCTTCCAAAACCTCGAGTAACATCGCTAGATCTGGAACCCTTGAAGACCTTATTCCGATCGTCCTCTTGAAAAAGTGAGAGGTCACGCCGTGAGCAGCTGATGAGCTTGGGTTCATTGCCGTTACTTGCGCTGCGTCATGATATTGCAAATCAACTGGCTAGATTGGAGATGGCCACCCGTCCAATACACCGCGATCAGACCTGGGCATCTGGACCTTTTACTAGCTGAGATGTTGCTCGTCATGCTAAGAGACGCCTTTCGATACAACTTTCTTGATCTCCTGGATACTTGAGCCGAACTCGTGTAGAAGAATTATCCGTCATCTGATGTACGCTCCCAAAGTGGGATGTCGATTTGGGCACGAATCGCGGTCCAAGTATTTGCAGGGCATATCCTGGCCATGTGTCCGGCAAGCTGAGAGCTGGGAGAAAGGCGAGGTTGTGAAGGTGTATCCTTTCTCATGCAGTGAGGAGGCAAATGGGACGTAGATGATTGTGCCATGCTGCGAAATTGGCCTGATGATTTCATGGCTCGCTTGGATTGGCAGAGGATCTTCGTAGCTTGCCGCGCGACCCGCGGCCTGCTTCTTCGACTCGACGGGTGGATGGGGCGCGCCAGGGAGTTTGAATGCTGGTGGCTGGGGTTGAGTTGAAATAAAATAGAGCCCGGGGCTGGTTCCAAGGTCCTAAAGTCGCGTCGAAGCCGTGGGCGGTTCTGGCTCTGGTTGGTCGTGGTGGGACCTGTCCTGCCTAATCTTGTCAGTATGGTTTGGTGAGGCACTCAGCATTGGAAGAGGTCTTAACCTTCTTCATCTCTTTGTTGAAGTCGCGGAGAAGGATCTTCCCCAAATTTGGCTGATAATTGTAAAAGTGCTAACATGGTTGTGTGTGTGTCAGCGAAGTTTCGGCATCGTCGGCAGTAGACGTCTCTTCATCGCCAATCAAGGGTTCTGAATTGTTCTGGGCAGTCTGCTCCGAGATGTGGCGCGAAAGGTGATCATTGTGTGAAGTCTGGGTCTCTGCTGCGAGTTGCTGGCTTTAACCAAGCTGTAATCCAGTAGTTGGCGTATTCTTCGCCCATCAATGGAGTTATGTATCCAACTGCCTTCAGAAACAGATGCGCTTGGCTGACAGATCCCGAGTCGAGGGCACGAAAAAGACTCGCGTCTGTTCTCGTGCGGATTCCGAGAACGAAAAGGTAAAAAATCTTCCTGAAGGCGCGTAAACAAGGGAGGCCAAGATTCGAGATTGGGAAAGAGCTGCGTGGCGGGCAGTTCGATAAGTGGGTCCTAAAAGTTGCAACATGCAGTTTGAGAGTACCTAGGTACATCGAATCCAACCTTTGGGCGGTCATCCCATGTCAATTGATGTCACAGCCGCCACAGCAACCGAAGTCCACCGTCTTGTGCACTCAAGCAGGGAGCAGCCGAGTGCCCAGGCCAGTGAGTCTGCCACTGTTCTGCAGCCGAGTCGTCTCTGATCTGAAAGAGGCATTTATTGAGACAATGCCACCCACCCATCTCACTGATCTGGTCAATAGCACTAGCAACTCCATCGTCCGAGCCTGACAGCGTTTGGCTGCTTGCCTCAAGTCTGAGCCAACGTCCTACTGCTTGTTCTTCGTTGAAACGAATTGAACAATGGAGTTCTATTGTTACAGTATAGATGAGTATTCAAGTTCTCTTCTCAGCTCTCACTCTCGCTCGGCGCCCATTCAAGTGGCCGTATTCCGAATGCTAGATCATTGTCATATTATGTTTTCTGTGTCTCTTTTCTCTTCTCAACGAGTGACAATGTGTATCCTTTAGGAAAAGGCGTCTATTGTTCTATCTGTGCTATGCTACGGGTATATAAAAGCCCTCCTGTTTCCCCTATCTCTGACTTTCTTCTTTCTCTCCTCGTGCGTCTCATACCAGTACTTTCCGCAAGCATCTCTCTCTCCGAACCAACTCTCGCCTCTTCAAGCATACCACCATGGCCCATTACGGGTCGTTCGCCCCGGGTGGCAACACCCCGCCCGACATCCCCCGGCTCCAGTGGCCGAGAGAGAAGGCCGCGCGGGTCGCCGACCTGCGGGAGTGGACCCTGTCCCCTCCCATGACGATTGCCGAGCGCATGTAAGTGTCTTCCGTCTTGTCAGCCTTCGCCCTGGCGAATCGTGGAACACCTCCTGTGTCCTGCTCTCGGAGGGCCGGTTCTCGAGTCTTCCCGCCGACATCGAAGTCGGCGATGTCTTCCGCTACCGGTTCAAGGGAGCGTCGGCGGTCTGGTGGGTTTGGGGGCATACTGATCACGAGCATGCCCAGACGATTGCGCGCCTGGATCGCGGCAGAAAGAAGGTGCTATTGCCCATCGGGTAGAAGTTGGTAGTCGCGGCGTCGAACTCTGCAGAGGTTTCTGTGGTGGAGTGATTCTGGTTTGGTTGACAATTCTTTTTGTTTGGGTGGGTCCTGGGCGGCTGGGGCGGGGTGGTGGGATGGACGATGGATCTCTCTCGGTCACTGTAGTATGTAGGCAGTTGCCGCTGGCAGCAGCTGTCGCAACGTTTCCCCTAGTCAGCTGACCTTTCCTTACCATAGACATGAAGTTGGGGGTCTGATTTGGCCCATGGTTGTTTACGATGCCCTTCGCTCTCTCACTGCTTGCCTTCTCATATTTATTCCCACGGGTTGTTGGGCGTTCAGTGCCAGTTTCTAACTTGAAAACTTTCGGTTTGTGTCGTTTGAACTTTAGCTGTACTCATTCTTCTTTCTTCGCCATTTTAGTTATGTTTGTCCCATTTTTTGGGAAATCTGTTAGAGGAATACGAAGTTTTCAGTTGGCAATATCTGTCTGGTACAAGGAACCGAAGGGGTAAATGGTAAATTCCAAAATGCTAAGACTTCAAGAGAAAGGGGAAGTCGTGTTACCATATTCCAATAGATATGAAAAGATCAAACCATATATGAGTGCCTCAACATTCGGAGCATATGATATCAAGCTGCCTTTTACTCTGTGGAGGAATGGTATCTTCGTCTTCTTGTCATTCGAGTGGCTGCTGCTGGTCCTGTCGCTGCCATATTGCAGTCTTCCCCTCCGGCTGCCGCGGCGTCGAACTCCAAGCAGCCACTCATCTCTTCCCGTGTCTTCCACGCCTTCCCAACTCCGACCCCGGGTTCTTATACAACTTCCTTCCCCGCACCCTCAACAAAACACCGAAGCCCTCGTAGCTCAGCGGTAGAGCGTTGGACTCACATGTAGAGATATATGTGGGAACAATCCTTGATTGCTAGAGCAATCCGAAGACTCTGGTTCGTTTTCCAGACGAAAGCGTTTCTTTTTCCAGCGTTATTTAAATTCCACAAAATCCTACATGTCCGAATTTCTTTTATTAAGATGGAGAAGAAAATATGACAAAGACCAGGCTCTACCGTGGTCCTTACTGTCATGAGGTTATGCTTCAATCAGTTTTCCTCGCCGCCTAGTAAGGGTTGGCGCTCATTCGGCTCGTCCTGCTCATCGTTCGACTGACGCTGCTCCTCCTCCGACTCGTTTGGAAGGTACTTCCGGACGACCCAAGCGTACAGAAGGGTGGGATAGAATACCACACTGCCCCGGAACGAGTTAGGAGTTAGGATACGGGTACAAAATTAAGCCTTGTTGAGAGAATGATGGCTTACAGCAGAACAATGATGCCACCAAAGAACCCTCTACTGAGCCTCGCTTGTCCGCCATTATACATGTTCCGATCACTCCATAGAAGTTGCAGCCTGTTGGTGGGAAGTAAGAAGCGAGCTAACAAAGCCCAAGCAGGGGAGCAACGAGAAAACTAGGAGAACAATCGAGATGAAGAAAGGTTGTAGCACACTTACACGATCAGAATCCAGACCAGCGTTGCCAGTGCGGACTTGCCCACCTCGACCCGGTAGTCCAGGTTCTGTCGGCGTGCAGAGGATATCTTGACCTGGATGGAGACGACCAACAAGAATATCCCAGCCATAATCCCCATGAACACACTGGTGGCGAAGTCGACGGGATACTCATTCCACCGCCAGTAATTGTTGAGAACCATGCTCACCGCTTCAAAAGTGAGAAACCCGGCCACGAGGGCAGCCATGGTGCCTTGGAAGAACCACAACCGGCGCTGGATGAGGTCTCCCAAAGGGCGAAGCTCGGCGAGGTCGATCACTATGGTCGGCGGCATTTTCCGTTTCGTGCCAAAACTTTGGGCCTGCAAATCGAGGAAACGGGGAGCGATCGCAGTGTTGGGCACTTGTATACATGTATGTGTGTGTGTGTGTGTGTGTGTGTGTCTGCGCGTGCTTGCGTAGCGTACTTATAGTGTGAATCTGAGTGTAGGCGTGATGAAAATGTCGACGTAGATATGATGTTGAAGCGGAAGCAGAAGTGTGCGACCGATGAAGGGTGTGATAAACAGGTCAAGAGAGGGTAACAGAGCAGCAGTTGGTTGGTTCCAAGAAGACACATTTGTTGCTCGTTGCTGCGCCGCATCCTGCAATTGGGATTGGTTCGCAGCACCTCCATTTTGAGTGGAGCGACCCAACCATCCCAGTGTCCGCGGATACGCTGGCACGTTATTCCCAGTAATGTGTCCCGCAAATTATGTTATGTGTCTTGATAGAACTGCAATCTCTATATTTCTTTTCTTTGCTCGTTTTATATTCTGGGGGTCACCAGTGTCATTCGACTTCATGCCTCCCGTCCTCTCGATTAATGTCAGAATGAAGGTCTTTTCCGTGTTACTGGACTCGTATAATAATATTCGTGATTACACGTCCTATTAGTAGTATGTAGACAGCAGCAGTCAGCTCACTATGTTACTTTCACAAAAATCTTTAACCCTAATACTCCGACTTCTCATGAGGAAAGATTGTTAGTTAATACTAGCTAGGGGTCTAAACCTAGAAGTTCGGTGCTCGAGCACGGAGTGCCAAGTTGAAGGATACTACGAATTAGGATGCGGAATGGCGCTGGGTGAGAGGTATACATACCAGTAGGTACTGCAACCCCGGCCCAGGAACCAGCAAAATCCGGCAGCGAAGAGCTCAGAAATGTTGTCTGTCCACGGCAAGAACAACCCCAAGGGACCACCTCCTCCCAACAACAACACCCCCCTCGCCGGCTGACACCCCTGCAGCTTGTTCGACAGCAGTTTGTTCTCCGAGACGGATTTTTGACCTACAGCAGTTTGCTCTCGCCTCCTACTTCGCTCGACGACCTATTGACGCCTTGTTTGCCAAGCATAGCCGTTCGTAGCCATGGCGCATCAGCAGGCTAGCCTCACCCGCACAACCAATCGCAGTACCAGCAACATGCTGCCTTCGCGCTTCCAGCGCTGGCCGACTTGGAACCTGCCTTTTGGGACGTGGGTCGGACGCCCAAGCGGGAGCATATTCCGCTCTATGCGGTTGTGCCAGATGGCAAGGCAGAAAGTAGAGGACGACGATCTTAAGGAGGAGGAGCCAGCAGAGGGTGAAGAGAAGAAAGAGGTGATGATGTTTTCAAGAGGGAGGAGAAGAGGACAGTTTCAAGGAGGCGAGGAGGACGATTTCAAGGAGGAGGCGAGGATGGGCTTTCAAGGGGGATGAGCTAGTAGAGGATAAAAAAAAGACAGAGAAGGCAAAGACAGCCATCTTGTCAGCGGACTACTTGGGCAAGGGAAGCGACCATGCACGGCTGGGTGGCTCTGCAACAGAGCAGGGACTAGCTACTCAATTTCCATTATCTGGTACACGATGTCTTCAGCAACAATGAGCTATGCAATGGCAGACGTATCTGGGTATGTTTTTGTCCAGTCGTCATGTTCTTGCATCCGCTACACGTACTGTGTCCACTACTAGTAGTATTCGTGACAAGGGCTTGTCCCCCGCTAACGTTGAGTAGACTCAAACTGAACAAATGAAGGTTTACTGAAAGAGCTACATGTGGAGAGCAACGCGCAGGCAAACATTGGCTGCAACAGTATGTGGAGTGCCTCGTCGAATTATGAAGAAAGCTAATTGCCCTGAAATTCTCCCTACAATGATGATTTTTGATATCCATTTCCGATTCCTCACACGGGCTTTCCCAGCCGGTTCCAAACCCCCCTTATGTGTGTGTGTGTGTGTCCCATATCCCCACCTGTGTTTTACCACCGAAGAAGGTAACCCAGAACACCATGTCCAAACTGAAAGAAAAAATAAAAAAATGGATGAGAACAAATCCATGCCCCTGACAGAGCCGCAAGAAATAAAAACGCCATCATGATCATTCATCTTTGCCCTCACGCTCACAGCGACTACGCGCTGTCGCCAACGACGCAAGGGCAGAGTCCCGTCTCGGGATCGCGATGAGTGAGCACCCTGTGCACGACAAAACCCAGGTCCCAGACCACTCCCTCGCGCAGCATTAGGACAACGCTGGCCCAGCAGCACAGGCGGCCCTCCTGAGAGAGCGCAGCGGCGTGGTTGGGGTCGACGTTGGTGAAGTCGGTGAGCAGGCAGCGGGTGTACACCAACTCATTGGCGTCGTCAAGGTGCGGCATGAGATCATAGGTGGTCAGGCCGCGGGGGAGCTCGATCTGCGACAGCACGGCCTGCACGATGGCGGAAGGGAGGGCGACGCGCTCGACATCGCAGCCCCTGGGTCTGGCGCCGGCGCTGGCACCGGCGCGAGACGGGCTCAGCGCAGATGAGACATCGAGGCTGCAGGGCGAAATGTGGATGAGAGGGGTGCCCGTGCTGCCTGCGACGTCGAAGTCATCAATGGGAGACTGCTCGTCGGCGGCGGTGTTGGTGGGCCAGAGAGCGACGAGGAGCTGGCTCTCCGGCGACGAGGAGGCGCTTCTGCTGAAAGATTGGTAGACGGGGTCGCTTGGGACGTGGTGCCAGACGACGTCCTGAAGTGAGGGGGTCTCGCTGGCGGCGGCGGGGAGGCTCGTGGCTCCTCCGGCGGGGATTAACTCGCATACCTGAGCGAGGGGAAACGAGCCGTGGCTGACGCCGGCAGGTTGCTGGCTGGATGGATAAGGCTCTGCGACACCGGCGGCAGCGCGAGAGAGTTGGGAAGTGGCCATCGCTGGAGCGACGCTCTGGAAAGCTAGCTGGGTGCGGCCCGGGGTGTCTGAGATGCGAGCGTGGTTGCCTGTGTGCGGTGTGTCTTGCGGCAAAGAAGTGGTCGAAGAAGTCGCCGATGCAAGGGATGAGGGACAATGGCTGCTTGTTGGGCGTGCGTTGGACCCAGCTTGTCGGGTTTTCACGCACATATATATGTAGCAATCGGTTACCAGTCCAATACGAGAACCAACTGGCCGAGATTGGTGAGGGGGATGGATCCGCGGTTGTGGTTCCCGGGCTCGGCCCAGAAATTCCTGGAGAAAAAAAATGTGTGACTGGGTTTGGCTGATTTGCACTTTCTTGGGCGGAGGGGGCTTTTGCTGCGTGATGTGATGGACGTGCAGCTGTTGGGAATCCCAATCACGGACTTTGCTCCGGTCTAACATTGGGCCAATCAGGCGGGATGCCCAGGGCGCGAAGGCTAGGGGAGGTTCGGGGACAGGTTGGTTGGGCTGAAGCCGCCATGAACCCAAGTCGGTAATTGATAAACATGCACACAGTCAGACGGCAGGCAAAAAATTGACGCCTCGACACTCCTCGAGACTCTCATCCCGGCTTTCCGCCGGTACCGAGCCCAGAGACAAAGTCCTGGGGGTCCGTGCCATCATCCATGGGCTTCCCCTCCCCAGTTCAGCGCCCTCAAGAACCGAGAGATACGGTGGTGGGCTGGCATGGGGGGCAGAGGGCTTGGGACAGGGGGTATGGATCTGCCGGCAGGCAACTTTGGGCGGGGAAGATCTGACCTAGGTAAACACTTCGTGCTGGGGGTGTGTGTTCACTTTGCATTGGGAGGTCTTTTTCCCCTTCGCGTACTTGCAAGGTACCAATACCGCCTTATGGTTCTTTTTATATACCAGACGCTAGCGATTCCAGCCGTGCACTCGACGCACTGTCCAAGCAGCACCTCGGCGCTGCGCAACAATTCAAAGTTGCATTGCTGGACACCTCGAAAGGCAGGAACCCGGGGAAGTGGTTGGGTTTGGTTGTTGGTCCCGGCAATCTGGTCGTGCTCCTGAAATCTCCCCGGGTCTGCCCATTGGTGATGTCGGACTGCCGCTGAGCTCGGACGGGTTGGCTGAGCAAAAAAAAACAAGAAACTAAGTTCTCGCTCTGTCTGAGACAAGTAAGACTTTAGTGAAGCCAGCACATCAGATCGTCGCGACACTAAAACCCGGACCGAAAAGCTTTGGCTAGAAACTAGACCCCCAACTGCCTAAG